AAAGGGAACATGCAGCTAAACACTGGGTGTTTGTGCCCAAGACAAAACTGAATTCTGAGTGGGTAAAAGATGTGCCTACATGTAGAAAGTAAAGAACACAGTGACTCCTAGCAGCAAACTGAACAAAACCAGAGGAATCTGGGGAAAGGAAACTTGTACCCATGGAAATAGTGGCATGATTTATGCCAAATTCCAAAGCAACCTTCTTGCTAAGGCCACTGGACACCAATCTGTGTGATGCTGTACCCCTTACCCCTCAAGGATTTGAACTAACGAAAAGTAAATAAATATAAAAGTGGATTTGTAAAAAAAAAAAAGGAAAAGAGTCCCTTTACCATAAATCAAGTGCTCGTATACACGTATGCAAGAACTACTCTGAGCTCCGAGGGTTCGGATCCCACATACAGACCGGTTCCCGCTCACTGGCTGAGCAAGGTGCGGGAGCAATACCGAGGGTTGCAATCCTGTTGCCGGTCCCTGGTCCGGTACGGGGGCAACACTGAGGGTTGCGATCCGTTGCCGGACATGGAAAAAGACAAAAAAAAAAAAAAAAAAGAAATCACTTGTGTTGACTCTGGCACAGTTATTTGGAAAATATCAGTTTTCATGATACTTCCTGCAACATTACCATATCCCAAGGTTTAAAGAAGTGAAGCTACTCCACCACTACCATAAGCATTACAGTCATTGAGCTGCCAGACAAGGTTAACTACCTTTTCAATTCACTAACATCAAGGAATGAGACTGTGCTACCTACGTGAAGTTTCCTGAGAAAAGCAGCTCATCGTTTTCATTAAAATGTCTTTTTAAACACTAACTTGACTTCTTCAAAGGACTATGCAGAATTGAGCCTTTTCTCAAGGGCACAGGATCATAATTAGGCACACACACAGTGGCAATTTTAGAGGTGGAAGATCCCTACCTTCACCTAATTCAAATCCCTTACTTTACAGATGAGCAAACTGATGTCCCAAGAGGTTTTGCAATTTACCCAAAGTCATACAGTACAAAGATCATGTGATTACCAAACACCATGCTACTTACATCTATAATTGTAGTATACTGAGCACTATTTAGCATGGTAGTAAGGATCTGCAGCAGTGCCCTTGTAATTTCCCCCATGTTTGTTATTCTTGTTATCCCTTCTCTTCCCCCACAATAAAACTTAAATCAAAAAATATCTATGTTTACCCGCTGCAGGAAAAAAATTAAGTTAGCCTACTCAACAGCCCATCTTAGGGGAAGAATCCCAAAAGATAATGTGTGTGGGCTGCTTTAACTCTATATTGTTTCAGAAAGCAAGAAAGATGCAATGAAAAGCCCACATTGTCTTAAGGATAGCTTTGGGGATGTGACTGTCAGGAAGCCCAAAAAGTTCCTGAGAATAGGCAATATAGTAAATTTCACAAGGGCAGGGTCTAGGTTCTCAATAAATATGGATTGAATACCCTGAAAAATGAGTGTGTACCACTACACTAGCTGGTGCCAGGCCACTGTGCTGTTTGATTCAGGTTTACATTATAGGTGTTTGTCTCTTCCCTTTCCTATACAGATATGAACTGTCACTTGTATGTCTAATAACACCCCCCCCCCAACAGTCTTTGCAGAAGTTGATAACACTCCCTATACTTCTAACAGGATGGTTCTAATATGCTCTGAGCATGTTAGAATTATTTCCAAAATAAGAATGAATGTGTTCTAAGTGAAGACCTGAAGGATTCCCCTGTGTAGGAAGCATGTTGATATTATCACATAACTCTTATAACTTCCATCTTGCCTGTCCTTCTGTTAAATTATTGGCTGTGCTGCAGACTATACAGGCTGCCAGATAAGTCACCTCCAGTGAGATGTTACATTACTGGGTCTATTTTTAACCTGAAGACAGTGATACTTTTCTCCACAACCCACAAAATTATCATTCAGATGACTTTCTAAAGGGCAAAATATCCTGACAATGACAATTATCTACCGAAGCTGAAGACCACTTTCTTGACACTTATCACATATCCATTTTTGTCCTCTTCCTTGAGACTCCAGTTGGCCCTCCTTTATTCCATTTTCTTCTATTTTTTCTACAGTTCAAGTTCTCAATCTTATTCCTCTGTCTTTGGGTGTTCAAGAGATATTTCCTGTATTTTCTAATCAGAAGGAAATGGGCTTAACTAAGAAAATACATACAAAACTTTATTTTTCCCATAATCTTTTGAAAATGATCTTAAGAAAAAGCTTTCACCTTCTCTTACAGAAAATGAGAATACAAATTAATCAAGGCCAAAGTGACTTTAAAATCTTATCCTCAGATGATTCTACTTGATGAAGCAACTGTCTGTTGATGACATTTTAACTAGAACTAAATCTCGTAAAAGAAAAATTACCTCTCATGGTCTATTTCTTCATGTTTCTGATATATGCATGATTAATTCTGCTTTTGTTAATAAAACTGAATCTATGAAAAACAGCTTTTCCTATGACTTACTCAAGGTACTACATTTAATAAAGCAGACCCATTTTAAAGGCGACTTTCAGCGAACTAGTTCACATTAAAAAAAAGTCCAATTACGTAATTAATGGAATTGTTTATCATTTATTTGGGAAATGACACTTTTATTAAATTTTTCCACTTTTGACACAAAGTTTCACATCATACATTTAAGCAATGTGCTTGATAAAATCCAGAATGTGTCGCCATTAAACGGTATGAAAAACATAACTTTTAAGATTAAATAAGTTCTTCCCACACATTAAGAAATAAAATTACACTCATTGGAATAAGTCTAAAATGAATCTTTTTACAAATACAAGAGCTGCTTCCTGATGCAATTTTCTGGATCACTCATAGTATCTTCCTATCTCTACCATTACAGACTCCAACAGGATGGATATATTCCATATTTCGAACTGTACCAGAAGGCAAAATATTTATTAAAAGAATTACCAGAACTTAATAATAAGAATTAACACTTGTCAATTAAAATTTGAATCAAGAAAAAAAAAATCAATAAAATTTTTTAAAACTCCCCAAGTTCCAAGGTAACAAAAAAGAAAGGCAAGAATATAGAACTCAAGTATGATATAATAACTTTTCTAAAATGGTGGTTGTTCTAAGTTTTAGGATAGACTGGAAAGAAAAAATGAATAGTCTATATGCTCTTTCCAGCTCTCATCCAGCATCTGTTCATAGCAGCTACAGCCAGGTCATCTGCAGCCATGCAGTTATTTTCAGGCTGGGCATAAACATGTCCTTGCTGTTCTGAGAACAATTACCAAGGTACAACTAGAGTAAGAGAATTTTGGATTAGACAACACCTTAAAGGCTATCTAGTTTACCCTCCCTATATTCAAAAGTAAGGAAACTGAGGCTCAGAGTGCCTAGCCCTCCCAATTCACACAGCTAGTTAATAGCCAAACAAAGTCTAGAACCAAGATTTCCCAATTGTTTCTACTAATATGGGTCAACTCTGAAGGTCAGAACAACTGATTCTCCTAGGATGGAACGGATCTTTGGAAATTTACCAGCTGTGTGATCTTGAGCAAATTACAACCTTTCTAAGCCCACTTTTCCTCTTCTGTAAAATGTAGAGAATGCCTACTCTAACAAGGTCGTCGAAAGGATTTGTAAAATGCTTAGCATACTGATTAGGAAATAATAAGCATTGGAAAACAAGAAGCTATTATTTTTATTCCCACCCTGGAAACATGGCTGCTCCTACTGTTTGAGAAGACAACGAACTGAATGAATTAACACAATGGACAGGGTTCCACCCACCAGAACTTCTCCAGCCCACCACATTCTATAGGCAGGAGAAACTCCCACCCTACAACCTATGTCCCATCTAAAATTCATCCCTTACGCTGTTAATAAAAACAAAATGCCAATTGCTGCCAAATGTCTTCTGCCACGTGTCGTACGTTGAATTTGTCGACTACAAATTGAAAGGGGGTTTCTGGCTCCACCCAAAACATGGAGAACAAACGAGGGAAAAACAAGTGGAAGATAAAGTAACACACCTGAACTGGAACTCGGGCGCTTGTTCTTAGTACATTTAGTTGTGCGTGGATAGGTGAGTGGTAGAAAGCAAGATGCTTGCTTTCAGCACCACGAAGCAGGAATAATGGCTACCTCAACAAAATACAATTCCCTAGGCTTCTCAACACAATAGAAAAGAATACGTTTCCTTTCCCTAGTAAGCTAATACGCATACGGGCTATATCTGAGCGTCCTTCCTGTAAAACCGAGGATTAAGCTGTATCTGAACTGCACTGTACACCTAGGATCATATAAATAAAAAAGTCCTATAAAACGGCGAGACAAAATGATGGGGACTATCACCTTGAAATCTACAAGGAGGGTATCATAATGTCATGCCAAAGGCGCCTCCATTGATAAAATCCCGACACTCCATTCTCATGATAGTGCAAACCCACCTCCCAAGGAAATTAACAGGAATCACCGCAGCAACCAACCTCGGCAATCAGCATCGACCAGATCGACCCCTACTCAAATGGCGCTAAGCACTGCGGGTCCAAGCCCCTCCCTGGAGCTGCCAAGTCCCGCGCTGACTCCAGACTACCTCACTTCCTTTCTGTCCTCCCTCCCATGCTCGACGCCCGGCATTTCTCACCAACCCTCGCCATTGACAAAAAAGGTCGGGACAAGACAGACTTCCTACACTTTGTCCAGGGAGTACCAGGGGCACACATACCCGTCCCTATTACGATCACATCGAACTCCGAAGGGAGATTATCCGCCATCTTGACAGGAAACGTGTCATGTGACTATTGCTTGTGAAAATGAGATCAAGTTAGGTATTCCCTCAGTAGAAGGCGGAAGGGGAAACAGTGCGTTCTGGGTAATGTAGTTCTTAGGTGGAGGGTCCTGGTAGGCGACTACAGCAATATATTCGTATTTGAAATGTTTACGCAAACGTTAAAAGCTCAATTCATTTTCCAGGCTGAGTACAGTAGCTCAATTAGCATGAAGGTGTAAGGCAAGGAAGAAATGTAGATTTTTTTTTTACTTCGCTGGCCAGGATGAATACGGGAAGACTTGGGTTCGATGATGAAACAAGAATTGTTAGGAGACGGAGGGCGGAGTGAAATTGAAAGGAACTTATTCTGTGAACAAAAGAGGTTTTCATTACAGCCTGGAAAACTGTTTCCTCCAGCGTATCTGTGCTTCTATTTTGGCCACCGATGCATGGTTTTTATACCAGTACTTTCAAGCTATATTCCCTATCTTTTTCGTCTCTACGTCTCCCCAAAGAAAACCTACGAAAAACCTCTCGCCCTAGTTTCGCCGGAGTAGAACTCTCACCGCGTCCGTATTTGTTCTAATTAATACTCACAGCAACCCTAGCAATATATATTTGCAAATTCGCGTTGCCTTGCGGGAAGGAAAAAAAGAAATGAAAGCATAGTAGATGCTTGATAAGCGTTTGTTGAGTCTGAATCTGATTTTCTGCACAAGTAAGATGAGTCCATACACGATTCTCCTAAACTACTGCAAAAATTATTAAGGTAAAATGGCCTTTATATTAAAGTGATTGTATTTAATGAGAGGATTAGGTTGTCTATGCCAAGCAGCTAACATAGCTCTCGAGTATTTTCAAGGTCTCGCCTCCCACCCCCCATTATTTAAAATTTTTTGCTGTCTGGCAACACCAAAGCAATAAAGGGGAGAGTATATCGAGTGGGGAGAGTACTTTTTTGATCCCAGAAATCACGTGTAATTATTTTGTAACTATTTTACAAAAGTTTCAAAATAAATCAGGGAGGATGCAATAACAGACCTTCCCTTACACCACCTGTCCTCCAAGCTGCTGTGGTTCCCCAGAGACATTTTTTTCTTTCCTGTCTTCGTGACCACTCTCACGCTGTTCCTTCAACATGAAATGATCTTCCCATTCTCTAGGTAACATTTATCCCTAAGATTCGGCTTGGCTTCCACGTCTTCCTTTTTTCATCTCCTCCACATATGGGCTAACTTTCCCTACATGGTGCTACCACTGTCATAAACGGCCATACTGCGCTGAAATTGTTTGCATTTATGTCTATTCCTGTAGAGTACACGTATTCCCAGACATACACACAAAAATGCACACCGAAACCACACCATGCATTATAAGCTCCTGTATGACAGAGACCAAGTACTCTTTATCTTTTTACCCCTGCACCTAACCTAAGCCTGGTGCTTAGTAGGAATTCAATAAATGTTTGCTGAACTTAACATAGTTCTAACTCCTCTAATAGATGGTAAGCACTATGAGGACAGGGACTCAGTCATCTTGACCTTTATATCTCCCCACTACTATCATGTGTCTTATACTTTGAAGTTGTTTGATTCATTTGTTAATTTTGAAAAGTTCCATGAAAACCCTTTAAAATGCGTTTTCCTTTTTGGGGGAGGAGGTGCAGTTTTTTTGGTTTTTGGGGTTTTTTGCTGCATTTTTGTTGTGTTTTGCCATGATCATTAGCAACATTATGCATGTTTCATTAATTTCTTTTACGGATTATCCTGTTGTATTAAACAATTCTCAGGTGATATGGTCCTCTGATGAATATTCCGCGTAAAAGAGATTCCACTGAGAAGTATAATGTATTGTTCAATAAATCACTCTGCCATTTGCCTTGGTAGGAAAAGAAAGTTTTGAGGGTTATCAGAAGTGAAATAGAATCTTACCTGTGAGACTCCTCATACACCAGTGGAAATAGAAATTAATAGATTTCCCAGGAAATCTATTCCAAAATCTTCTCTAACAGTGAGAAACCACTGATGAATGATTTAAAACATGATAAATAAAAGTATTTTTATCTTACTTTGCAGGAATTTGTATATACATGTGTGCCTGTAAGGATTTGCATTATCTTTTAATTCCATTTTCCACAAACTTTTTGAAGTACCCTCGTATATACTCATATCTTTTTCGATATGAGTATCTCTAACTTTCTAGGGATTCAGAAATTTTCTAACAATCATACTATGAATATACAATTCATTAATTTATTTATTCCTCAAATATTCATTGAGCACCTATAATGCAAGGCACTCGTTTAGGTGATGGTATTACAGCAGTAAAGAAAACAGTCAAAAACCCCTATCTTTATGAAGTCTACATCTAGTGGGGTAAAACAAAACAATGAATTACTCCGTAGTGCTAATTTTCCAATCTTCCCTGCCTGGATTTGAAAACCTCCCTTTTTTTCCCTGAGGATAGAAAGCACAATCCTCAGAAACATAATATTACCAATCTGTATTTAGCTGTCCTTTCTCTAAAGTTCTCATGTGACTCATTCATACCTTCTCTAGGCATGGAAAAGATTATTACACTAGGAAAATTTAGAGCCTCTGCATGGAGAAAATGCTCAAAATACCTTTTCTTTCAAATATATTTTTGTAGATTTTATACAAAGTAAAGATGGATATAGGAGTTGGTAATGTCAGTAAAAAAGTGTAAAGCAACACAGCTGAATTGCTATCTATTCTATTATTCTAAGGACATCTATTTTTGAGAGCTGAAATATTTTATTTGGATAAGTCACAGTACAATGAGATGATGGATACCTAAAAATTGACTGGACTGTTAAATCACCGTGGCAATAATTTTGTACTTAATGGTTTCCTGAGTTGAATCATCATTATTCCCTGAACATTTTGCAGAGGTTTACTTGACTGTGAGATTTGACTATTACCTTTTTAAAAACCAGTAATTTAATGGTTTCTATCTCTGGGCCCTTTCCTTTGAGTTCCAGACCTATATATCCAACTCCTTACTCAACATCTGTTCTGAACATATCCAGTACTGAACTCCTGAACATCCCAACCCCACTCCCAAACCTTCTCTTCATTCAGTATTCTATATCATAGAAAAAGTACCACCTTTTACTCAGTTGCTGTAGTCAAAAACCAAAGAATCATCCTTGACCAACCTTCTTTCACCCTTAAACCAATTCATCAGTAACTTTTGCCAGTTTCATCTCAAAAAAATATTGTAATTATATCCACTTATCTCAATCTGGGCTGCCACCATAATTTCTCGCCTAGACGACTACAATAGGTCCTAGCTGGACCCCCGCATTCATGCATGCTTCTCTCCAGTCCACTCTCCATACTGCGTTCAGAGTAAACTTTCTAAAACTCAAATTTGATCGTGTCTTTCTCTACCTAAAATGCTTCATGATTTCCCATTGCTCTTAAGATACTCTCCAAAATCTTAAACATGGTCTAAAATGCCCTGCTTAACTCTCCAGTCTCATCTCATATCTCTTAGCCCTCTTTCTCTAAGCTTCAGCCATATTGGTTCTCCTTCATTTCTCCTTCCTGCTGCCGTGTTCCTTCATGCTTCGGGGCCTTCACATATGCCTTTCCATGTGCCTAAAGTGCACTTTTATGCTTCTCCTTCTTTTCTCCTAGCTTAATCCTGCTCATCCTTTACAGTTGTTAATTTGAAACTTCACGTGCTCTGGCAAGTCTTTGTTGAACTTCCAGTCTAGCTTAAGTCTCCTATCCCCTTATACTTCTCCTTTGTTGAATTTATCATGATTGAAAATATTCAATTACTTATGTAATTATTTGTTTCATCCTGCTATAAGCTAAACTCCACAAAGGCAAGGACTGTGATTATATTGTTCACCATTATATTCCTAGTATATAGTTCAGTGCCTGGTACATAACAGGCACTCAAAAATATCAGCTGAATGAATGTATGAATAATAAAATATATGACATCTTCAGGAAACAACACATAAGTTATAGTCTTTAATACTCTTTTAAATGGAAATAAAATGAGTTGGTTGCCCAGTAAACTTGTTTCATTATCTGGTTTTGCATTTGTAATTGAACAAGTAATATGGACATGATGAATAAAAAAATTCAATTAGAACAAAAGGTCATACAAAGACTAGTGATGGAGTTTGGATGTGTTGTCCCCACCAGAACTCATGTGGAAATTTGATCCCCAATGTGGCAGTGTTGGAAACTGATTGAGTCATGGGGGCGGATCCTCATGAATGGATTAATGCTCTCCCTGGGGGAGGGGGGAGTAATGACTGAGTTCTCGCTCTATTAGTTCCCACAAGATCTCGTTGCTTAAAAAGACCCTGGCGCCTTCTCTCTCTCTCTCTCTTGCTTCCTCTCGCTGTGTGATCTGCTTGTACCCGCTGGCTGCCTGCTGTTTTCTGCCATGAGTAGAAGCAGCCTGAAGCCCGTGCCAGATGCAGCTGTCCCAGAATCATAAGCCAAATAAACCTCTCTTCTTTATAGATCACCCAGTCTCAGGTAGTTCTGTTATAGCAACACAAAATGGACTAAAACAACTAGTAAGATTATTAAGTTTCCATACCCTTCCTGACCCCCAGTTGTCTTCCAGAGAGATAAGCACTATTTATTTCCAGTTCCCTTGTGAATCCTTCTAGAGATTGTGTGTGTGTCTGTGTGTGTGGGGGGGGGGGTCTGTAATCCCCCCTTTTTTTGACACAAATGGTAGCATGCTATAAACATTATTCTGAACTTTATACCTTTATTTTTCCGTACTTATTATATCATAAAGGTCCTGTGCTCTTAGTACATGTAGGGATGCCTCTTTTTTAATGGCTTCCTAAAATTCAATTATATAGATACATCATGATTTATTTTATGTTCTATTAGTATTTTTCTAGTCTTTTTCTGCTATAAATAATGCTGCAATGAATATTCTTTTCTTAGAGAGGAAGTATGGGATAATGCATATGAGTTCAGACTCTTGTGCAGACTTCCTAGGTTTGAGTCCCAATTCCATCA